AATTTAAATCGCTTCCAAATGCCCTGGTACGGCCAAGAGTAGAGACAGTCTGCTCTCCCTCTCCAAATGCTCTCACACGGCCACGCGTATACAGGCACTGCCAGAGAAGTCCTACTCACTGACTTCTCATGGCAGGGGTGTTGTTTACGAAATTGAGGGGACGAAAAGCGAACATCCGGGGCTTTAACCGGGTTGGTGGATATGGGGAGTTTACCTAGGAGAGTTGAAAAACCCTGATTCCAAACCAATGGTGCACATGGGCTCCAGTATCTAGAGGGAATAAATGGCTTATGAACCTATTGTTGGTCCCGGCTACCATGGGACTGTATCTCCCAATGTTACCCTTGTGGATCAGATTTCTAGGTTGAAGACTCTAGATGTGGCCCCCTAAGAACACCAGCTTCTTCAGTTTGGGCACCCGGGTAGTATCACAGCCTACACACAAATCAAGTGACTTGTGTGGTGCATATATATTCGGCGGCCATTTTTACCAATATTTATGTTTTCAAATAAATAAATAAATTTAAATCAGAAATATTCGTCATTGAACTGTTTTTAAATGATGAATAACATACGTATTCAGAGCACTGTTAAGGAATCGCATACTAGAATGAAACGGCCATCCAATGCTTCCAGATTTTCCATGGTGATCTAGCTTCAATTGACTCATGAACTCATTTATTAAATTACTAGAATCTCCGCAAAATTAACCCTTATCTAATTGTAACATATATTGTTATTCCATATAGAATTGTTGATTTGGGCGAGACAAACTAACAACTAGACACAATAATTGTCTTACATTTACATTATAATGAATACAATTCAAAGTTCATGCTTCATTTTGTATATAGTAAAATAAATAAATAAACCAAGAAACCACATTTTATCTTATATAAATATAAACAAAATAATCAATAAATTCCCTATAAAATTGATATGAATGTTTACTAAACATAAAAAAATTTGTTTATTTCAATAAATCAATAATCAATATTATTCAATATTTGTTTGTTTATATATTTTTCTCATTACAATGAGTGGTTCATTTAAGTTGTAATTGAATAGCAACAAAAACAACAACAAAAAGAATAAAAAAAATGATCATAAAAATAAAGTGGTTTATTGTTTATTATAATAAGTTTCTTGCTTCATCTATAATAAAAAGAAATAAACACAGCTGTAATCTATTCAACTGATTCTATTTATAGTAGTAGTAGTAGTGGTAGTAGTAGTAGTAGTTAACTGTAATGGTAATTTTAATCCAATTTTCAATATAGATTATAGTGAAGAAATATTTATTAGATTTTAGTTGTTATATTCTTTCTTTTTTATAATCATAATGAATTTCGGTAATGTATACACAACCATTTTTTTTGTGTATATGAGTTTTGTAAATCAATCGATAAAGACCAAACAACAACAACAAAATGAAGAAATAAACAAAGTACCAGATTGTTTGTTTGCTTTGTTTTTTTTATTTTTGTAAATGTCAGTTTAACACTAATTTAACCAAAGTATTGAATAAGAAGAAGAAACATATTCATGAAAGAAATCAAAAGTTATATTTTTAATTATTGACATTTATTCGTTTCATAATATTTTGGGCGCTGAGTTGATATGAGACTGTAGTAAGCCTATTCAACTACTATCTACTCATTGTAATTTAGACATTTAATCCATTATGTACATTTCTGTGTGAGTCTGATTGAGCACAAGTTTGCACATCAATTTTTAATCTATTCTCCCATTTATTGTGATACACAGACAATCAATAATTTATCCATACTTGATTAACAATCATTAAATATATATGGATTTTTGTCACACACTCTTGGTTTCCCTGGTGTTCAGGCTTTTGAATAATCTCGAGTAAATCCATAATTCTACTAGGAGATTTAGCCTGCATTAAATACTCCGTTAATGGGATACTATATATTGGAGTCAGATACAGGGTAAATTAACCTCTACAAGGCGTTGATATTTAATATCAAATGGGTTTTGTGGATATTATAGTAATTTCAATGGTTAAGATCATGAGTCAATTGAACATAGACCACCATGGAAAGCCTGGAAGCACTGGACGGCCGTTTCGTCCTATCGTGAGACTCTTCAGTAGTGCGCATCCACGATCTTGACCACTGAAATTACTATAATATCCACAAAACCCCTGTCTGATTATAATTATCATATGCTCACTAGCAACTGGCTTCAAGAGATATTTCATGTAGTTCTAGTGAGGAGTAGTGACCAGTGGAGTTCAACCAGGTCTGTTGTGAGATAGTAACTCACTAATGACAATGGTGAATGTATCGCTCGATTTCATGGATTAGTTGGAGTTAGACATTAACACCGTTGGATGCCGGCCGGCTCAGTGGTCTAGTGGTTAAGTGCTCGCGCGCGAAACCAGCAGGTCCTGGCTTCGAATCCCGCGGGGTACGGGATCGTGAATGCGCACTGCTGAGAAGTCTCACAATAGGACGAAACGGCCTGTCCAGTGCCTCCAGGTTTTCCGTAGTGATCTAGATTCAACTGACTCATGATCTTAACCACTGACATTAATATTTCCTTGAAAATGCTCGGATCAGATTGCCAGATTAAATGTTGGATTTATTTCAAATTCATTTGCTGAAATTTTACATATACATTCTTCTTCTTTACTGACATTATTAGTTTTATTCATATTACTGTAAGTCTAACTTATACAAAATCTATTCAGGATATAATATGAAGAAGGCAAATATATTTTCAGGTTTTTGAGTTTGTTTTCATATGCAGGATTTTTCTCACATTAATTGAAACAAAAAATGGCAACTTTACTGTTTGTTGTTAGAATTTAGGGAGAACATTATTGTTCTATCTATCATGTTACACTCTATGATTCTTAGGATTTTGATTTGAACATTCGGGGTTTGTTAACCAACTAGTCAAGGCACTTTGATTGGCTTAATTACAAGACTATACAGTTGACAGTAAACAATTGTATAGAAGTAAATCAACTTAGGTTAATATAAAAGTTGGTGGTCATCGGTTATCGAATCTTTGTCATTTCCAATAGTTATATAACAACAAAGTATTTAGAAGTCAAAAGATTACTTTAGAAGCAATTCTTTAGGTTACTGCAGATAAAAAGAATATTGTTATAGAACTCTAGAGAATGAAAAATTGTTCGTTTTCGATGTTGTAGGTTTTCGAACCACGAAGTAGAAATATTTATAAATGTCTTCTTGAGTTATTTCAAAAGGAATGGTATCCATACCCAACCCTATCGTTCAGAAATATATTGAAACATGAATAATGGTCTATACATAGCAATATTGAATCAAGTGTAAATGATAGATAGGTGGATTTAAAATAACTACTAAGCACTTTTTCACAAGTGGAATGTTAAAAACTTGATGTAAATTGTGAAAACTACTATAATCTACAACTATCTGTAAAAGAAATAAATAGAAAATATCAATAGTTGAGATCATAAGTCAGTTGAAGATAGACCACCATGGAAAACTATAACTATTGAAATTACTACGATCTTCACAAAACTCCTTCTGATACAAATAGAAAATAACTTAATTTCAAAAATACTGCTATCAGTCATTTAGTTGGATTAAAACTGTATATTTGAAGAGAGCTTCATAAGTTAAACTAACTGGCCAGTAACAGAAATGATTCTACTACTAACTGATGTACTCCAAATGTTTAATCAATATATAACACAATTGTTTTCCAAAGTAATAAAATAGCTTATTGCTTTCAGAGGTAGGCTAATGATAAGTAAGTAAAAAAACCATTTTTACCTGAAGTGAACAGCACACTGCATATATTATAAAGACTTTCATTAATATATAATGAATTGTATGAGGATTTCTATGTATGATCCTATGCTTGTTAAGTTGTTTTTTCTTTATACCTAACTAATCTATAGATACAATGTTTGGACATTCGCTAGTAAATCGACACTGTATTATTTTTATGACAATAGTCAATATGTGAAAAATCCTACCGTGATATATCACTGAGTATTTCTGGAAATGTACTAAATTAGATAACGCAGTTTAAAATATTTTTTTCGGTACAATTTGGTTATGAATCAAAGATAAAGCTACGATTTAACGAATCCTGTATGTACTTAAATATTAAAGTATTCACCTAAATCTAAGACTTCATTAAGTGCTGGAATGTTGATTTAATTCATTTATGTACATCTATATCAAATAGTATTTTAAGCATAAATGAAACATAGAGATACATGAACCAGCGATGAGAATTTAAAGTCACTTTCAGTCAATAAACAGACAATCTGTAACAGCTAAAAAATATTTAGTAATAGAAGTAATTATAACCTGTTAATGGATAGTATTTATTTAAGGCTTTTCATCGGTTTCGTAGTCTTAATATTTTAGATATATCGTTACATAACCTCATTTATCTCAATGGAAATAGATTTGTTTCAATAATGTTTCTTTCTAAATTCTTCTCTTAGTCATAAAGCAAACAGTACTGAGTTCGAGTCCCAGAGTGAACATCAACTCTGAGATACAAGTATATCCAGCTGACGAGTCCCAAATAGGACAAAACGTGAGTCCTGGATTCCACTACTAGCCAATATCCATCTTTGCTTAGTCATAAATAGTTTGATATAAAAAATTAGTCATTACTTATTTAATCTCTGCTAACGAATTCTCTTAAGATTCAACAAGATAGAGTCATACGATAAGTTGTTTTTTCTCTTTCTAATAGACCAGTAATAAAGTGATTCCTTTAAGAATTTTTACTGAAGTAAGTCAACTGGAATAAACATCCACTGATTTATATGTGTCGCACTATGAAGATATGAAGAAGTGTTCAATCAGCATGTTTAATACTTATTTTTACCCTAAGACATTAAGAAGATGATATGGTATCATAGTATTCTGAATTATAGAAAAGACATTTTATTTAAAGAAACTAGTCATATATTCAATTCCATTTCATACAACTATTATTTCTTATCAATACAGGTATCAGTACAAATTCGTGTTGTATTTTTAAAAATTGGTGAAATTGATACATTGAAAGAAATCTATCACGCTGATGCATTTATACAAGCTAAATGGAGAGAACCACGTTTAGATGGTAAAACAGATGAAGTAAGTAAAATTCATTAGTGTTATTACAATATATCTAAGTACTTTTATGTTGTGTTTACATTTCAAGTACATTTATATTTAAAACACAAGTATTTAAACGAAGAATATTGTTTTCGATAAATTCTCTTCAGGTTCTACAATTAAATGATCCCAATTAATAATCCGAAAAAATGGCCAGGTTAAGGGCAAAGTACATCGTTTAAAGCATATGAATTTAGGATTGTCAAACAAAATAGAATAAAATTGTTAACGTTGATATGACTCATGTAGAATGTTGACTTGAATCAGCTAATATGTTAAATGGAAGTTTAAGATCCATGATCTGAATAAATATGGATCAGATAGAGTGAGAGAAATAATAGTGCAATTACAACTCGATCAAATGTTTAGTGGAAGACTTGATAAGAAGGGATGAATGAGAAGTGAATGAATCATGTGTTGGGGAGATTAATAATGATGTTTAACCAACAGTAATAATAATACAAAGATTTGTGCATAAAGATAACAGAGACAATTACATTTGACTACGAAAGGCCATAATCAAATTAGGTCATTCAATAGCTAAGATTACAATTGATTAATTGGCCTTGGTGTTGGCCAGGGGAGAAGGGTTGAAGATATTTCTTTTGTATGCGTAGCTCAGGTTTCTTCATACGGATGGCTACTGTTTTAGCCGTTTGGATAATTTTAAGTCTGCAAAAAAATACTGACCTTATAAATAATTGAAAAAGATTGGTTTATACTGACACTATGACCAGTTTGTACTAATTGGACCAAAATTGATCCGTTCACTTTCTTCATCAAACCTTTGTTTAGCCACGCTGGAAGGTGTTCACGAGTACGAAAATGTAAATAGCTAGAACTTCGACCAATATAACTCGCTCCACAGGAGCAGTCGATCTGATAAATACAAAACGAGGTGGTTATTCTAGGTAATTCATCCTTTAGCTTCGGTGTAACCATCGGGCGCGTAGAAAATACTAATCGCAGTTCTCAGGCGTTAAAAGACTTTTGTATTGTCCTACGTAATCTTTGAGTTAGTATTTCACTAGCTGCATCCCCTCTGAATTATATTTCATGAAATACAATGTAATCTTATGTCTATATATACTATATATATTATGAATCGATGAATCAGGAAAGAATATTTCTTCGGTAGTATAAATTGTCAATACACAATGGATACAAACTTTTGTTGAATAAAAATGTCACATAGTTCTAACTTATTCAATACTAAAAGTGATATTTGTACTTAGGATAAAAATAGTTTTTATGTCCATTTTGTTCCTTTTTGTTTCTTTTTAATGTTTCAAATACAAAAAAATATATTGCGTAATTTCATCACATGCGAAAAGATTAGCTCATTGTTATTTAATGTAATCTATACATGGTTCAATAAAGATTGCTATTATTAGATTATGTAATATCTATCCATATATTTAATTTTAAACATTATTTGCATTCAGTACATTTAAATTACACTATTTATAAGACTGAAGCTTTCAGTCACATCATTAGCTGAAGTTAGACATTAACACCGTTGGATGCCGGCCGGCTCAGTGGTCTAGTGGTTAAGTGCTCGCGCGCGAAACCAGTATGTCCTGGGTTCGTGTATCGCAGGGGGCGAGGTCGTGGATGAGCACTGATGAGGAGTCCCACAAATAGGACGAAACGGCCGTCCAGTGCTTCCAGGTTTTCAATGGTGGTCTAACATCAATCGGTTTTTGATTTCAACCAATAACATAATAATCTCCACAACCCTATACTGAATGGTAAAAATCAAAATTTTATTTTATAAATTCATTATTCAACGCAAACTTTATGTTACAGAATCTTCGTAAAATAGATTTACAACGCTGTTGGAATCCACTTATACTTATTGATAATATATTAAGTGAATCTAAAGAACAACATTGGATCATTACAGAAAGAAATGAACATGATGAAATTTTCATTGTTGAACGTCGTCGTTTAAGAGGTGTGTTTTTGGAGACATTAGAATTAAATGATTTTCCATTAGATGTTCAAGTGAGTTAACTTTAATTAATATATAGTCAATTTGATTTCAGCTAATATATTTGAAATATGATTAAATTTCAATTAGATATAATAAACTGGAAACTATAATACTCTTATGTATATTTATTTCATGATCAACAAAATTATTTCATACATAGAATTCCCTTAATTATCTTAAAGAGAGTAAGAATGAAGATTGATGCAGAATAATAAATGGATTCATTTTATTTCGTTAAGTTCTCATCAGCTGCTTACAACCTAAAATATTTGAAAATCAGAGTTATTATAGATATTTACATACTTATACATCAGAGGGTGATAAAGGATGAATCTATGTGTATCATGATGTAGTGAAGATTCCAATGGAGTTAATGAGGTCATAAAGTTTTGTTTCGAATAAATAATGTTTAAGAGGGAAAGTTCCAGAACATTGAATTAGTGACTGAAACTCATGGAATTAACAAATGTTAGATGATTATGTAATGAAGCAACTGATAGTAGAATAATGGTAATAAAGAAAGATATGGATTGAAATCAGTCAGTTATGAATGATAGATAGAATATAACCAGCTGAATCAACTGAGATGCTTTTCTATTTTTGTTATTTTGCATACGAATGGAGCTGGACGAAGCCGAAGTAAATGTCCTTTGTAAAATGAATGCATGATATCAATAAAAGAGTATAGAATAGATAGAATAAATTGGTAAAATCTATTTTCACAAATGATTATGTGTTATTCAGTCTTAGACATTAGAACTTAATAATTGGTTCAATGTTACTGTTTTCACTTGGTTATAGATATGATTACTGACTGAAAATTTGAAAGCTGATAGATAAATGCAAAATGTTTTGTCGTTAGTTACAAATCCTTTAGTTTACTGATACTGTTTCCATTATTTATTGTCTACTAAAATGAGACAAATTTATTAGGATTTATGTAAATACTTACTTACGCCTGTTACTCCCAATGGACAATAAGCCACCGACCAGCATTATCCAACCCACACTGCCCTACTCTGCCTTCCTTTCCAGTTCTATCCAATTTTTGTTCATTTTTATTATGTCTATCTCCATTTCTAGACGTAATGTGTTCTTTGGTCTTCATCTCCTCCTTTGGCCTTGAGGATTCCATATGAGCGCTTGCCTTGTGACGCAGTTCGGTACTTTTCTCAATGTGTGTTCTATCCACTTCCAGCGATTCTTCCTGATTTCTTCCTCCGCCGGAATCTGGTTTGTTCTCTTCCACAGTAGGTTGTTGCTGATAGTGTCTGGCCAACAGATCCGAAGTATTTTGGGTAGACAACTGTTAATAAACAATTGTATCTTCTTGATGATGGCTTCCGTAGTTCTCCAAGTTTCCGCCTCATATAGTAGAATTGTCGTAATATTTGTATTGAAAATTCTGACCTTGGTGTTGGTTGACAGTTGTTTTGAATTCCATGTATTCTTCAGTTCCCGATCCTCATTTTCACATCCGCATAAGATCCACCGTGTTCATGAATGATACTGCCCAGATATGTAAAGGTTTTAGATCCTCCGAAGTTTCTCCATCAAGTGTTGTTTGATTTGTGAATGTTGTGTTGTATCGGAGAATCTTCCTTTTCCCTTTGTCTATTTTGAGACCTAATGTTGCTGAGGCTGTTGCTACACTGGTCGTCTTCTCCTGCATTTGTTGTTGCGTGTACGACATAAAAGCCAGATCATCTGCGAAGTCTAGATCGTCCAACTGAATTCTAGCTGTCCACTGTATCCCATGCTTCCTCTCAGGTGTTGACATCTTCATAATCCAGTCGATCATCAGAAGAAAGAAAAAGGGTGAGAGTAAGCAACATTGACTGACACCGGTCTTTACTTCAAACGAATCTGTCAGACGTCCTTCATGCATGCTAACCAGAAAAAATTATGTAAATAATACGAAGTAAAATCTTCTTTTAATCCTTAAATAATTTCATACATTGTGAGATAAAACTGTTGGAGTAGAATTTTAAGAATGATTTTTTTTCATAATTTAATATAAGTAAGTTAACTATAAGAATAATGAACATTTCATTACCAAGCATTTATATAATTAACAAATCATACCATTACAATTTCAACCTAATCATGATATCATTTCTGGTGAGAGGCCTATGCTCCTTCACGAGGAGTAACAGGCTCTGAACAAGAACGTGATATCATTTAGTTAATAAGTTGAAATACATTTCTAATTCGATATTATCCAATTCATATTCACAATAAAGGCGACCTCTAATTAGAATTAACCAAAATTTATTAAAACATGTTGTAAATCAGTCTAATTATGTTATTCTAGCACAATTTTTATTAGCATTTATGTAATCAGTTTCGATGTTTTATACCCGTTTAAACTATACAAAGAAATATAAACTTATTTGATGCTATTAATTAAGAATATTCAGAAGTTAAAGTGGATAAGTTAGTCAGTCAGTCAACAACGTAGAACTTCGTACGTAAGCACATCAGTTCGAGTTACCACACCACATTAACATACAGTTACAATTGTCAATTCGATTCCCATATTGTTAGAGATAGTAAAAGTATAAGCAGTAATCAGAAATATTATGGCCCAAAGATGTTATTCAAGGAGTATAATCCAGTAAAATAAATTTGGAAGGAAAATAAAGAATACGAAGAATTCAGAAGATTAGAATTTAGGAGAACACAAAGAGTGGTGCACCTGAGCCATTGCAAACGATTTTGAGCCATGTCATTCAGGGTCTCTAACCATCGGTTGCTATCATTTTGCGGTCCCTAACCAGGTAGTCTACATCTACCAACATGTCTCAGTCCATGTGTCAGTGACTTCATGGATTTGTGCCATGTTTTGGCTGCCCCTAGCTTTCTTCCAAAAGGGATATGGATATTCTAATGTAAGCTAAAGAGTAAATACACTTTATACTATGATTAATGACATTTATTTCTGAAATCTCATCGAAATCAAGATCTAAGATTTCATACACATAGAGTTCACTTTATTATATTGAGGAAAGCAAAAATACAGAATTAAAGAGAATGAATTGATCCTATTTCATTTGCTTCTCAATATCTGATTACTTTCTATTACTTACATAAAGAAGTTTAGTTGAAAGTTGTTGTGATTGCAAACCAGTATAGTATAATAAGGATGTGAATAAGTTTAATAAATCAAATTAAATATTGTAAATAATTATCTTATATGAAAAAATGTCCTACAGCATTGGTACTAAAGAAAGACTAAAGAGCTAGAAATACCTGTTTATTCAACAAACAAACGCTTATAATAACTAGGAGTAAAATGAATAAAGAAATAAGCTCACTTATCTAGAAGACAGTCATAATAAAAACACGTAATAATATGATTAATTGAAACAGTTAAAACATTATGATATAAGGGAGGAACGTTTTCATCTCCAAGGGAAAAAAGATTAACACTTAACTCTTGTTGTATACATAAATCAAGATTCTGACATCTAATATCATTGGCTACAAAATACCTAAAATGTTTAAAAATTCAAAAAATAACTTTTCAGCATGTTTTCTTTTCCAGTTTTAGAATTTATAGCGACATTTTATGCTTTTAGTGTCAGTTGCTATGTTAAAACCACATAGCTTATTCTGGCTTCCAGAGAAGTCAGTTTATTATTCCTTCTTCAGTCACATTTTAATCTCGTCAATTATTCCATTATCAACACTGACTGATTTCACATGAGCATATGTGTGTGCATTTCCCATCCTATTCATCACATGTCTGTAGCTTATTATTGTTGTCTGATTATAAATATCGATTCACACTTGGATAAATCGAGTTAGCCCACACATCATCTCCACCATGTATCGTTTCGTTTCGTTTCGCTTCATTTCTCTGATCATCTGTCTAGACAGATGATTGTATGAAATATACGTATTCGAAATTCATTCTTTTATTTGTCTTAATTAATTCTGTTATTCACCAACACGAGTTAAGTTGATAATAATAATGATATACGAGGATTGGTGACATATATATTCCGACAGCAATCATTCAATAACAATCATTCGTATGATATTGCTGGAGTAAGATATGGGGGCCATTAAACTGGTAAATCTGTCGACAACATCGTCCGATCTAATTGGAGTCAAAATAACGGCACTAAATGCTTACAGGATATAATGTTATTTATTTGTGCATCTCTTCGAAATACATTAATGAGTTAACAAACAATCCTTAATTAGCTTAAGTTAAATTAGAAGTACAAGAGATTGTTAGTTTGGTATTCAGTCAAAGACAAAATATTCAGTTTCTTTATATATTAATCAAAATGCACTAGTCTGAGCCATGTTAGTAGATGCAGATTACTTGGTTGGGGTCCACATGACTATCGTAACCATTGGTTGGAGACTCTGGATGAAATGCCTCAGAAACGATCACAGTGACGTAGGTGTATACACACTATCTTCCTTTAAACTATGAGATTTAAATCGCTTCATATATTTTTCTCTACCAACTAATTCTTTCTTCCTGTACTATGTCTTTATATGCAATCTTTCTTTTATTATATTACTACCAGCGAAGTAACTACTTCTATGAATCCGGTATTCATCTTGTGTTAATGAGGTATGGCAACTTCGACCGATGCATATATACGTCTGGTCCTACGTTTTAGTTGTAAGTGACTGACATTAACATGAACTTAGATCAATGAAATGTGATTTAATCTATTAATTTTTAATCTAAAACTCAGATACTTCTGAAATACTTAACTACAGTTGAAATCATTTATTATTTTAAAGGTCTATTTATTTTCATAATATACTTTCAGATTTTCAATGGTGGTCTAGCTTAGATTGATTTGTGAATTCAACTGTGAAAATAATTTTTTGTATATTATCAACTGCTAAGTGATTATTAGGTTATTGGTTTATTGTATCTGCTTCATTTCATGCTTAAGTTAACAAACTATATTTATATTCTGGTCAAACATTAGTATGTTATGTACTAAATCATTGTACGTATTTAGAATGAATACATCAA